ATATACAAGAAATTGTTGCTCTCCGGTGATTATTAAAAAATATACAGCTTTTTTATTTTGATAAAACTTGCTTCACGGAGCATGCTACATTTTGGCACGTTTACATCACAAAGACTCTTTATTAAAATTAAAAATTGCACAATTGTAAGTCAGAGAGATTTATGATATTTTACCTGCCGCTAAAGTGTTCATGAAACGTCACTGGGAGAAATTTTGAACTAAATTGGAGGGTATATGACTGTTTTATAGCCATTTGTATATGATCATTGCGTAAAAACACAGCCAAAAATCGGAACGTCATGGAGCACTGCACTACGTATATAAATTATGTATACAGACTGGAAAATGTCTAAAAAGAGATTAAAATGTTCCAGATGCTGCCGGGAATTTCCTACACCTACAAAGAACAAGTTTTCAAATGGTTGTATCTTCATAAGAATGGAAGGATTGACATTTTGAAAGATTAACTCCAGCGATACTTCAATACCCCCGTATCGCATGGACGTTGCGTTGCGCCTATATGGTTTTGCATAGTTTCCATACCTGATCGATTAACTGATTAACTGCATAAACTTTTTTTTAAGATCTCAATAATATCCGAATCAGTACAAAAGACATTATAGAAGAAAAGTAACATGTCTTGATATAGATATTCAATTTTAAAGTAGAAAAAAGATCAGAAAAATCTAAAGATTTATAGAACTGCGACAAAGCTTAACGGGTTGAAATCTGGTTGTTACGTCGCCTTACGTCAAGTGATTGCTCCGTGAATCCCATAAGCTCATAGTAAAAATCGTTGTAAATTTTCAAGATTTTATTATATGGACCTGATTTTTTACATACCAATAAACAAAATGTAGAAATTTATTCAGACATAGGTCATACTTCACAGTACACAATAGATTTTCCGTAATTCAATGTGTCCGCGAACTTTTCTAACGACCCTCGTACATAACAGCTTTTACTTTCATTTTATTTTGCATTGTCTACGTTAACCAATTTCATCTTACTATCATGTTTTATATAAGGTCCTTCTTTGTTTTATCGATTATTTACTTTCCATAACAAGGAATTTTATTCGGTAATAACCAATATTTGCCCCCCAAATCAAACTTTGATTGAGATATATTTAATTAAGTTCTTAAACAGGGGAGTATATGCTGACTTCAAAGCACTGAATATTTTCATAAGTAATGACGCCATATGTACGTAATGACGTCACAAACATGACGTAAATTTCAGTTTTTAATAAATTTTACAGAAAAATGTACATATTTCGTCGATATTTTGAGTAAAAGTCACCGAGCGCATGTGTGTTCAGGATCAATATTTTGATATAATGTGTAGAATGATAATATCAATGAAATATATCAATATTGTTCCTGAACAAACTTGCGCTCTATAAATTTTAAAGCTAAAATTGTTGAAATTTTGTCCATTTTGTCCTCTTTCTGAAAAAGGATATAAAATCGGACTAGTTTTTGACGTCATAAAAACAAAAATTGTGAATACACTGCTTTGACACTATGATATTTTCTGTTAATTCATATTTCTCATACAATTTATTAAATTCAGCACATTTCAGGAAGTTTTCAAAATTTGACTTTTGTGGGGGCAAATATATGCAATATACCGCATATAGTTCTTTATAGATTCTATTGATATATTGTTATTAAATGTTAGCAAAACCTTTGTACAGCGCATAGAAACTATATGTGATTTTGCGCTTTATAAATTAATAAAATAATAATAACAATAATAATAAAGAAAGAAATCCGGACCGCTATGAAATACGCCCAATCTGTCGGGTATAATTTGGTGAAGTGTGATTTACATAATTGAACAAGTTAATAAAGTAATTGAATACAACAATCAGTTAATCGCACATGTACATTGTTTCATTCTCTTAATATGGCTAACTTATATGATAACGAGAAACCGAGAAATCAGAAAAAAGATAATATGGAAGGGATATTTTAACATATGAGATTGCATCTATTATAAATTTGGAAATGTATTGAGAATAGTTATTAGAAAAAAGGAAAATTAAATCATAAGTGTAAGTAATAAATAGGTATGTGTGTTGTACTAGAATTTGTAACGCATATTAACTGTAGAGTTTACACTATATAGAGAGAATGATCTTGTTTATTATCATCGGTAATTGAATCTAGTTCATGTTCATTCTGGTGAAGTCATTTAGTCTGTTAATACCATTAGGGCGGAATGACCTCCATTTTTGCATTCAAAACTTTCCCTTGCTTTTTAGCTCACCTGAGCCGAAGGCTCAAGTGAGCTTTTCTGATTAAAATTTGTCCGTCGTCTGTCGTCGTCATTGTCGTCGTTGTCGTTGTTGTTGTCGTTGTTGTCGTAAACTTTTCACATTTTCATCTTCTTCTCAAGAACCACTGGGCCGATTTCAACCAAACTTGGCACAAAGTATCCTTGGGTGAAGGGGATTCAAGTTTGTTCAAATGAAGGGCCACGCCCTTTTCCAAGGGGAGATAATCATAAATTTGTTAAAAATTAATGGCATTTTTAAAAAATCTTCTTCTCCAGAACCGATGGGCCAGGAAAGATGAAACTCATGTGGAAGCATCCTCAGGTAGTGTAGATTTAAGTTTGTTCAAATCATGACCCCTGGGGCAAGGATGGGGCCAAAATGGCCGACCCAAGTTTTACATAGTAATATATAGGAAAAATCTTTAAAAATCTTCTTCTCCAGAACCACTGGGCCAGGAAAGATGAAACTCATGTGGAACCATCCTCAGGTAGTGTAGACTCAAGTTTGTTCAAATCATGACCCCCGGGGCAAGGGTGGGGCCAAAATGGCCGACCCAAGTTTTACATAGGAATTTATAGGAAAAATCTTTTAAAAAATCTTCTTCTCCAGAACCACTGGGCCAGGAAAGATAAAACTCATGTGGAAGCATCCTCAGGTAGTGTAGATTCAAGTTTGTTCAAATCATGAACCCCGGGGCAAGGGTGGGGCCAAAATGGCCGACCATAGTTTTACATAGGAATATATAGGAAAATTTTTTAAAAATCTTCTTCTCAAGAACCACTAGGACAGGAAAGATGAAACTCATGTGGAATCATCCTCAGGTAGTGTAGATTCAAGTTTGTTCAAATCATAACCCCTGGGGCAAGGGTGGGGCCAAAATGGCTGACCCAAGTTTTACATAGGAATATATAAGAAAAATCTTTAAAAATCTTCTTCTTAAGAACCACTGGGCCAGGAAAGATGAAACTCATGTGGAAGCATCCTCAGGTAGTGTAGATTCAAGTTTGTTCAAATCATGACCCCCAGGGCAAGGGTGGGGCCAAAATGGCTGACCATAGTTTTACATAGGAATATATAGGAATTTTTTTTTAAAATCTTCTTCTCAAGAACCACTAGGACAGGAAAGATGAAACTCATGTGGAATCATCCTCAGGAAGTGTAGATTCAAGTTTGTTCAAATCATGACCCCTGGGGCAAGGTTGGGGCCAAAATGGCTGACCCAAGTTTTACATAGGAATATATAAGAAAAATCTTTAAAAATCTTCTTCTCCAGAACCACTGGGCCAGGAAAGATGAAACTCATGTGGAATCATCCTCAGGTAGTGTAGATTCAAGTTTGTTCAAATCATGACCCCCAGGGCAAGGGTGGGGCCAAAATGGCCGACCCAAGTTTTACATAGGAATATATAGGAAATATCTTTAAACATCCTTCTGAAGATCCACTGGGCCAGGAAAGATGAAACTCATGTGGAATCATCCTCAGGTAGTGTAGATTCAAGTTTGTTCAAATCATGACCTCCGGGGCAAGGGTGGGGCCAAAATGGCCGACCCAAGTTTTACATAGGGATATATAGGGAAACCTTTTAAAATCTTCTTTTCAAGTACTTCAAAGCTATGATTAGTGATATTTATATGGAATCATCCTCAGGTAGTGTAGATTCTAGTTTGTTCAAATGATGAACGCCTGGAGGGGGGGAGAGTAAATTCAAGCCCGATGTACTCAGGTGAGCGCTGTGGCCCCTGGGCCTCTTGTTCTCTGAGCGTCTGTCCATCTTGGGTTATGGTCTATCATCACTACTGTCATCTCCTCCCATTTGTGACCTTCAAGGTTGAAATATTCTCCAATGTGAACTAGATCTAATCGAATCCAAATCCAAAAAATGCAGCTTACTTCTGTTTAGGATTTTCAATCACTTATTATGTCATTTAGAAGGCATAGTTCCCAGACTTGTTTGATATAAAAAATGATTCAAATTAAAAGAAACGGTAGCCTAGTGGTGTTGAGATCGAAGTGCTTCGTCTTTCGGAGGCCTTAAATCGATTCCCGTTTGCTGCGCTAAGACGTAAGTTGTAAATATAAATAGTGACTGTTCCTTCACCAAGTGCCCAGTATTAAGAGTGAATTTAAAAGTCAAAGGTCTTTCTAATGAGACCTTAAAAACCGATGCCTTACATGTATGTCAAGGTCGATGTTGGCACGATAAAAATCCGCCACTGCGCAATGGCCCGGAGTGCTGTCTATAGATCTAAATTAAACCACTTCACCTGTATATGGCGACGTTTGAGCAGTAACGATAAATCCTGGAATGGGACGTAAAACATTATAAAATCTAAATAATCAAATTTAAAGAAAATGTCTTGGTATTGATGTCTGCAGTTTTTCGGTGTACAGTAGCAATAATTGTCATGGAAATGTAAAATACCGTAAATCTGGAAATTTTTGCTGTAGATAAATTTTTAGCAAATTTGCGAGTTCATTGCATTCGCAAAAATATTTTTCTTAAAAATAAATTATCAATAAGAAAATGTAAACAAGGCAGTGGTTATTCGCAAAATTTTGAAACGTAAAAATTAATCAATACCATTTTGACCCGAATTCGCAAAATAAAATCGACGTAAAAATTTCCAGATTTACGGTATTATGTCAGTGCAAAGGAATACATTATGATTATGATTTTTTAAAAACAAATATATTTAAGTTAAATGTGTGTTTCAGGCCAAAAAAAGAAGAATTGTCCTCAAAGGTTGAAGTGAATTTTTTTGCCATAGCTTCAAGCTCATTTTGGAAAAGAGAGAAAGATAAAAAACAGAAACGCCTGAAAAATAATGTTTACCTGAAAATTATGGACAAACAGGAATGGAAATACTGGATGACTGAAGTTATTGGGTTGTATACTTTTTTCAGTCAAATTAAACATCCAAAGAAATTCATTATAATCTTCATCAATTTTTTTTTTTGCGTGCAGCCGAATGTGCATGCATATTTTTAGCTAATACTATTAATTGGTGTGAAAGAAACCAATTTTCATTTCCATGTTTACATTATTTTTATATTTTCTAATGTTTACTTACCTCACTTTGGCTGAAAGCTTAATTGAAATATCCTGACAATATTATGTTTAATACATGTATAGGTCAATTTAATATGTATATTTATACTAAAATTCAAAAATTCCTTTACCAATTGAGACCTTGTGGAAAGTTTGATTAAAATTGGACCAGGCGCTCAAGGGAAGAAAAATGTAAAGTTCACAGACAAATAAACAAACAAACTAGAAAGATGGACATCGTACAATGTATGATCAGGAAATTTCAATTAAGCTACAACTAAGGTGACCTTATAACAAATATAAATATAAGAAAATGTAATATATGAAAAGCTCATAAATGGAAATAAAGTACGATTCATTATAAAGTAGCATGGATCAAAGACATATGACATCAATGTTACGTCAAATAAAGTAATTTCCAAAATTAAAATACCTAAGTTTCACATGTTTAGACCAAGAGAGTAAAAAGTTAATATTTAAGGAAACAGATTTTCAATGATACTATCAATATGCTTATTTTGTAAATATCTTTCCATTGCAGGGAAACGGGTAAATGCCCTGTTCTGAAAATGAAATTCAAAATTGAGAGATCAAAGTGTCAAACACTTCAATACCAGTATGTGGTTAAAGGACCCAAAGGGGAGGAGGAACAGGAATATATTTACAATTACAACAAACATGACAGACAAAGTCCGTTTAGATCAATGGGATTACAAAATTGTGGTAAAGTTATATTGCTTATTATGCCTCCGTAATCGAAGATTCAGGGGTATATAACTTTTGCCCTGTCCATCTGTCTTTCTGTCATTCTGTCTATTTTCCGCAAAATCTTGAAAATTGGCCATTTTTGAGTGGATGGGGAAATGGTTTTAATGGTTTTCATATCTCCCAGGTGTTTTCCTTGCAACAAGACCTTGCTTCAGCTATTTCCAAATTTGACAATGTGACCCTTTCCTTGGAGTTTGACCCATTTTTTATAGAAATAATCAAATCTTTTATCTTAGCCTTAATTTTTTAATAGTTGATGCTTTCCATGTACATGTATATGTACTGAGACAAGACCTTTCAAAGGTTTAAATATTTTCACCTTTTGACCTTGACCTTGATTTTTTCAAAATAATTTTAGCAGTTATTTATAGGGATTTCATTATTCAGATGTTTATACCTTTTGACAAAAACTTTCTTTGGACACCAAAAATATCAACCTTTGTTCTTGACCTGGGGAGTTTCACATGCCTTTGAGAAACTTTAACCCTCGCCATTCGCTGCCAAATGGGGGCATCAGTATTTAACAAACACATCTTGTTTTGAAATATGAAATATCTTTTATAATCTTTATATTCCTGAAATGTAACATAAAATGGTAGCTGCAAAACCGGAGCTCTGCAAAAAAAAAAAACCATATTGACAGACTACAGAGCTTACGCGTCATCCATTAAGAAAACTATATATTTTTACGCACAAAAAAGTGCGTTCGGTTCTGCATTAATTCTTCCAAATTGCTAGACAGCAAGATTTTTAAAAAGGTTCTCTACCTTTCTATCAAGTACTCTCGTAATTAATAACCAAAATGGCAGTATCAAAAGGCGAAATTTTCAGGAATCTCAGATTTCAGGGCCAGGAGGGCTATTAACAACACTTTTAAGGGATGTTTTGTTGTGAAAGAATATGTTAAGAATATACGGTTAGTATTATTTTGAGATGAAAGTTTAAAAAAAATAAAGAAATAAATCGAGAAACAGCGCACTTTTTGTGCGCAATAAATATACAGTTTTTACAATGGGTGGTACTGTAGCTCTCCGGTCTGTTAGTCTTTTTGCCGGAGAACTACATTCTGCAGCTAATAGAATGGAAACTTAATTGACCCATTCATACTAGAAATCTATTTAAAGGTTAAAATTGACCCATATCCAACAAATTTTATGAGCTTTAAAACTAAAAAAAAACAATTTATAACTCAAAATATTATTCAATAAATATCAGGACATTATTGACTATAGATTGTTGAAAATTTAACATTTCTCTAATTTCTTACAATAAAGAAAAATATTGCTTTAGAGCAGAAAATTCTTTTCATGTATGACATAATTTTATGGCCCCATAATCGAAGATTCGGAGCGATAAAATTTTGCGATGTCGCCCTGTCCGTTTCTCTGTCTGTTTTTTTTTTGTTTTCCCGCAAATATATAACCTTGTCCACCACTTATAAGTGGGTAGGGCTAGCTGTATGCATGGGGCATTCATAATTCACAGTGTGACAAGACCTTTCTTTTTTTGGTACACCAAATTTGACCTTTTAACTTTGGATTTAAACACGTTTTTATGAAAATACAAATCTTTGGCCATAACATTTAAACAGTTTATCCTATGGGCATCATACATCAAATGTGTATTCATTGTGACAATACCTTTACATTGGTATTAAACTTTTCAATAGCCATAAATATTATTAACATGATAACTTTTGAACACTAGTACTAGGGCTTTCATTTTTCACATGTTTATACCTTTTGACAGGACCTTTCTGTGAATTCCCGTGGATTCAAACAATTATGAACTCCTGACCTTAACCGTGAAGTTTGACTTGTATTCGAGAATCTTCAGTTCTAGCCTTCAGCTACAGTACGAGTACATGTTCAGAAAAAAGCACAGCCTGTTTGATTTTTGATATGAGTACTGTCGAATCATTTTGATTTGCGGGGGTCAATGTTTATGGGTAGGCAAAAGCTCTTTTGTTTGTTCATGGAAATAATTTTGTAGGTAACTCATATATACAGAAGATGCAATAAATAAATATGTTCATAAAATAGATGTTCGTGGGAAATAAATTCATGGATAATGGTGACCCACGAAATCAACAAACTTTGTTCCCTCACGAACATTGATGATTCCACATTATG